AACCTTATCATCATGAAATGCTGTCAGCTTCAACATAGTCTCCAAAAGTTTCAGTGTCGGATTTTTGCTTTGGATACTTGACACTAAAATCATAGCCATGTTGTCAGCTAGTGGCAGTGTAGCTTCGCTAAACTGAAAGGGATTTTTGTCAACTGACAGCAGTTAAAGAGAAAGCCTCCTTTTTAAAAAAAAAAAATCTATTTTATGGAGACAGGAGTGTAACTGGATTAGAGGTTCTCAAACTGTGTCCTGTGATCATTTGCTAAAGGGTCTTGGAAAGCTCTGCATTAGCTTTGTGTTGCCTTGACTTTCAGCTGAATAAATATATCTAATGCTTCCCTAAAATCTGCATTTGAGTGTAGGTAACTGTAAAGACAGAGTCCCTGTGGTCCCCGTGAGCTAACCAGCGGAGTATTTGCAAAGGAAAATTGTGTGTCACCAATCTCCTATAATTCCTGCAACATGTCAGTAGAGCAGTGGAAGAAGTTGAGCCAGCTAAAATAATTTTCAAAAGGTGTTTGACAGGGTCCTTTATGAGATGCTACAAACATTTCTTAAATCATCATCTGTGGAGAGACAAAATATTATGAATCAAAAATTGGCTAGGTGAGCATAAGCAAAGAGGAGGATTAAACAGTCAATTTTCTTAATGGCCTGATGATAAGTTCTGGGTTTGGCAGTGAATGAACAGCAAGGTAATACATGTGGCTAGGCTTTAAATCTAGATGATACTGATCCCACTACTTTTTATTAATTACAATTTTTCTGAATCAGTTCAGCCATTCCTGGTATCATGTGCCGCACAAGAAGATTGATGGCACTAGATAAATAGCATTGCCTTAAGTCTGGAGTGAATACTATTATTTGCCTCTGCATGGTACTTTTCCTGAAAAATTACCTACAAGCTAGGGTTAAAAGCCCCAAACAAAACACTGCCAAGCAGTCATTAATCCGCAAGAAATGTCTCATTACTTAATTGTTGCTGCGGAAACTGAATTTGGAGCAAGGATACGCAATACTATGTATTTCTTTATTTGAAGGTTTTCCCTTCAGTAAAAAGAAAAGCCCAGTTGGCACATTGACTAAGATTAACTAGGCTTGGACCTTTATAGCTTGTAAAACTGGGCATTTATGTATAACTGCTGAAAACTGATTTACTACAGGTAGAGACGAGTAGAGTAGTAGAGTTACAGCATGTGTGTGAACGAGACGTGCCGTCACCACCACTGCAAAGATGTCCGTGAGAAACATCGCTGCGACACTCACAAGGAGAAACGTGTGTTTAAAAAAAAAAAGAGGGGGTCTCAGAGCCACCCCTCTGTCTTCTGCACCTGGCCGCAGGAGGAGGACGGCAGTCAACATCATCTCAAACAAGCTGTCCTGCAGCTGGGCACGCATGCTTATCCACATGGATTTTTAAGCAGTCTCATCAGGGCTTCCTTCTTTGACCCAGAAATCTTTGTTTTCCCCACTTTTGGACCCCAAATGGCTTCCTTTAACATTGTTCAGGACTTTAAGGTTAACTTAATCAAGTTTGGAGAAAGATCTAAATTGGTTTTAAATTAGACCGTTACCTTGTAGTGGCTGGAACATTTTCTGGTGCCAGGTGGTTTGGACTTATTTTTTGTTTGATTTGTGCTAAAAAAGAATCCCTGCTTTTTTCTCTTTCTAATTTCAAAAATCTTCTGTGTCAATCAGTGTTCTAACAGCAATCTGAAGGTGCTGAGGATTTTAAATAGATTTAAATTTTCATCAGTCAATTTGAAACATTGTTTTCAGTCCAGTGGGTGCCTTATACCAATACTGCCAATCCCAAACTTCAAAGACAGGCAAGTTAGCTGAGCAGAAAAGAGAAGCTGTGCATGAAAGTTTATTTTAACAATAAAAGTCGAGTCCTTTCCATTTAGTTAGTTGCCGTTATGGGCTTACATTTTCAAACATTTCACACCATGTACTAAAAAAAGATCTTGATATAATCATATGTCACCACCAGTGCTTTTAATCTGTCTCAAGTATCTTCAGCTAGAGTCTAAAATCATGAGATTTGGCACACAGGAACATATTCTGGATTTGTTTCTGCTTGACCTTACAAAGTGTTGACACTTGCTGGACACCCAAATCCTTTCTCCTGATTTCTGAGATTCTGTTCTTGGCAGCCAGAAGGAGACTCTGCACAGAGTATAATGTTTCTCTTCTCAAAAAATATTTTACTACATTTAAATCTTGGCACTCCTCAGCGGTGACAACCTATAGTTTGGGGTATTTTTCATGTTGGTTTTCTGATTTTTTTTTTCTAATTTTATTTCATTTTATAGTTGTCTGAATTCCAAATGGTAGTGATAACAACTTAAAATATTATTCTAGCAAATTCACATTCATATATTCATGTTAATGGCAATTATTAACCCTGGCAAATATCGGTGGTCTTACTAAATCTTTGTGGCAGAAAGGGTTACGTCAAATTTAAATTATGTAGAAAGCTTTATTATATATCCCAACTCAAAGTAAAAAGGGAGAAGAGAAGCTAGCTGAAAAAAAAAAAAGACCATTAAGGCCATTTTTCATTGAAGTGTGGATGAGAAATAATCTTGGGGAAAAGAAGAAATGAAAGATTTTGACATGTCAAAAAAAAAAAAAAAGGTCACCCTTATTTTTAATCAGCCCTCTGGTCCTTTCCCTGGATGAAGGCATCATTGTCAGAGTCGGGCAGGCAAGGTGGGAGGGAAGAGCTCTGCTGCTGTAACAGATTGGTTTCTGCACAGCACATAGCAGGCTTCTCAGAAGATGTTTCCCTGAGGGTGACAGTGGGGGTCAGCCACCGTATAACCTGGAGGAACTGCTTCTCGGGCAAATGGAAATCAAAGTACTGAATAGCGTCATCCACAAACAGGATAACTTTAGGTCAAAGCCACTAGATGTTCCCAGTCTGACTGCCCCGATTCTTCAATTGACAGAGATAGTGGAAAGCATTGCCCTTCAGAAGAAAGGGACACGTAGCTCATCCCTGTGCGTACTTCTGGGCTCGGTACCTCAACTTGTAGGGAAAAAACCACTTTGTTAGCGAATGGGGTTTTACTGGTGGAAACACCTTTAGTCTATATGCACAACACCCCGTTTTCTAGAATGTAAGCAAATGGCCCTGTGAGGGAAAAGCAGAGAAAAGCAGGTGAGAAAGCAATACTTTTTCAGATCACAGCCTTAGGATTAAATGTCCACATTGCAAATCTCCTTTTCATCAGTTTATCATCATAAACCTTTACTGTTTGAATATTTCTCAAGATGTAATTCCTTAATCTTTTGAAAACAATAGCACATGTGCCACGTACTTGTGGCAAACAGCAATCTGGTTGCCTGTGGTTTTTGGTGCCTGAGTTTAAAGAACTGACTGTATATTAAAAAATTACTATATACTGCTATTGTTGGCACTTATCAGGTAAGGAAGGCATAAGATGAACGATCTGCCTCAAGGAATTGAAAAGCAAAGCAGTTCTGATACTGAAACTGCAAACCAGATGATGCTCTGATTAGAGGCACGCACGTAGATTAACAGAAGTATAATAAATCACGTAACTTTTTACCCTCTAATAAAATAAAAGAATGCAGTTTTATTAGGAAATAAACTGTTTATCAAGAATGCTTTAAAGGTGACATTTATTACTAATAAACTATGTTGAAAGGGCTGATCCTTTCATTGGCAGAACAGCCAGAGACTTTCCTCTATGTAAAAAATGCCCCAGCTCAGTCCGTGCTGGGTCAGGAAGGACTTCCATCAGCACTAACGAAGGATGGGCAAGAGACTCACACGCACCTTTTTTCAAACAAGAACATTCTCTTTTCTCTTTAAAAAGGAATGAGTCATGGAAATATAACTCCAGTGTTATTTTGGAACTGATCGTGGATCTCAGCACGACTCCTTGGAATATCACTGAGAAACAATTCCACAGTCAGCTAACGGTATCGAAACCCAGCAAAGCATCTGCCAGGCAAACTCTTGACAGTGTCAGGGAGCCCCCTGCTTAGGCAGGATGTTATTTGCTCTTCAGCTCTTGGAACTTATGGGCCGACTCTTCAAAGGTTGTCACACTCTGCCCTGCTTCTCGTATTAATTCTGCTAAGTTATTGTGTAGCAAATATTACGGCTGTTGGTGCTGAACATGTCAAAAAACATGTCCATCCTTTAACAGCCTGCACTAGAGAGGAATATGAAGCCTCTCTCTTAACTTCTTGTCTGAAGTGTTTAATTTACACCTCCCCAAAAGCAGCTTTGCTTTGGACACCAGCTCATTCAGGCTTGAATGATAGCAGTATTGAATGTGTGTCTACCTGCTCCCTGAAGCTGTGTCAAGGATGACTGCATACAGTCAGGTCAAGCTACGTATGTCTCTTAGCTATTAAAAAATGGTCCTTCAAAATGACACAGGGAGGAGACAAAGGTGGAGTGCAGCACACCTTGTTTAGGGCTTGCCACGTGGCTGTGTCCTGCAAAGCTCAAACATGTTGCAGATTCAACTCCTTTACAATGATAAAGGCAATTTTAGGAGTTAACCATTCAGCAAGTGTTAAGCATTTATCATTCTGACCTTTTCTGTGAAATCTGTTCTGTGATTCAGCCATAGTGCGTACCCCATTACTTGGTCATGAACTGAAATTTCTGTTCCCATACTACAAAAAAAAGTTCTTCTGTAAGTCTCACCAGCCAGAATACATTACATGATTAAAATGTGGTTGCAGATTGTCAGAAAAATCAAAACTTCTTGCACTTAAGATGCATTAACTATTCAGGAAAATGAAATGGTGCTTAAGAACTGCTCTCAAGAGTCTGTGTTAAAAATCAATGTAGTTCATGTATTGTCTAGTTTATATGTAAACTGGGCATTTCCTAGAAGCTTCAGTAACTTAAATACTCCACTACCCAGGCACTCTTGCCACTGATACGCTATCATTGTCTCCTATTCCACTGACTTTCTAAACACAGTTTGCTGTACAATATTGTTTTTCAGGAGATGACCCATTCATGGCCTCCACCACTGTCAGCTATTCACACGCCAGGAAAGGCAGAACAAAGCAAGTTTCACTTCCCAAACAAGGTAAGACATGCAACATCATGTACCTGCACCTCAAAATGTGTCCTACACGAGCCCTGACTAAGCATGTGAGGTCTCTGGGCCGAGGTCGATGCCGTGCTGATGACCTTCTCCATGTGTGTGCCAGTATCCCCTGCCTTTTCCCTGCTTACAGCCTCTGCAGGGCTACGTGGTCTTGTTTGCGTATCTCCTGGCAGCAGCACTGATGCTGGTGTGTGGGTCATGGGTTCCTCACCGCAAGGCAAAACTGCAGGTGTCTGTGGTGGGGTGTCCAGATGCGGTGCCTTCTGCAGGCACCTGCTGAGGTTCCTGACAGATACCTCAGGGAACATACAGCTGCTGTGAGTCAAGAAGCTCCTTCTCGCACCCATTGCTACTGCTTCATTTGGCTTTGCTAGCCGAGATCTTTTTTTAAACCATTGAGGTCTGAAGCGGACTTTACTAATACCCTGGCCTCTGCAGTCGGGGGGCTGACGAGTGGGCCTACATCCCCTGCCACCAACCACCAGCTTTGCTAGAGAGGCAGGCAGCCCACTGCCATGATGCCCAGAGGGGCCACAGAAGTATTTGCCAGTGAAGTATTGGTCCCTCAAGGGACCAAGGCCACCAGTCCTGCTGATGGTCCCTTGAAACCAGTTCTACTGTTGTATGTGTATTCTAAGGAGGATGTGGTGCTGCATGGTAAAGCTCATCAGCACGAGCTTGGGGAAACCACAATATTTATAGTTGGTAGGTCAGGAGGGAATGCAATCAGCTATCCTGTGCAAGAGCCAATAAAAATTTCACATTGTATGACCATATACTGTTTATATGCCACAAGCATATTTCATGAAGCGTTCAATCTTGAAAGATGGTATTGATGCTGTTCATAGCCTTTTTGCTGTTAAAGCAAGCTCCTTTGGTAACTTTTAAGTTCATTCTGTAAAATTTAGTGCAGGGAATAATTATAACCACAAAGCCAAGAAGCCTTCAAGACTTGCCGACAGTAAAACAGCTTTTCTGTGGATGAGAGCATCATGATTTTGAAGTACCGGCAGCGTAACCCAAAACATCTCTGGCATGTTATGAAAGAAAAAGAAGGAAATAACTCACTGTCTATTTGTTCATTGAACGCAGACAGCTGATTGAAGGTGGTGGGCAGGCTAGAGGCTTCTTACGTTGGAGTAAGTCCAGTAGGAGATAGGTGGATCAGCAGCTCACAAGTGGGTGAAGTGCCCAGATATGGATGACAAAAACAAAGTGGTGCTTTCAGCTTTGCCGTTTCTGCCATAATTACCACCACGCAATGTGCTAGCGTGGCATGCGTGCAGACATGCATGGGCAAGGTCAGTGCATCTGTGTGGCCATCATGAATGTCCTTCCTCACAACTAAATGTATTGTGATAAATATAGGAATGGGAGAACCACAGACCATAGGGCAGATACGTGAATAATGGTTGATATTGACTTTCTCATCTTCTCTGCCTGTTCATCCATCTCTCTGGGAAATATTCTAATGGTTTGAACTGCAGAGCTGTTTCATAGACCAACCATTCATTTTTAAAGAGCCCTTTCTAGGTGGTTTCCTTTTCTCTTGCCAAAGTAGAATTTCCATTTTATTTAAGCTTAGAATGGACAAGATTTCATCTAATAATATATGAGCAGACTTTTGTACATGTGATAATATCACAACTGTATTGTGGCCTGGGTGGTCTGCATGGTCAGAAATTAGAGTGCTTTGTGCGAGATGGGGAAGAGGTACCTAACAAAACTCACCAGAGTCCTGGAAAAAGCCCGCATTACTGGCCATAGATCATGTTAATTTTAAACACCACCTCTGCTTGAAAATATTTTAAAATCATTAAAAGCTACTTCTGTGGCTTACTCTGAATCTGTGCAGTCGCAGACTTTAGAAGGCATTTGCTTTTCAGGCTCCAAAATGCAAGGAATGGTTTCCTAATTTTTCAAACATGTTTTTGAACCATTCGTAAGCTAGCTATTGCTTTTCACAAAGTGTGGTGTAAAATCTTTATTGGATCTCGTAGGATATGTCTCCATAACTCTTAGGAAGCTTTCCCACAGGTAAGCTACATAGCTGTCCCACCTTGTTAAAACCTAAGGACTACACCAAACTGTTGTGGATCGCACGTTATTCAGATAAATGGGCCTGTCAGTTAAGTAGTGGCCAAGGCCAGCAAAGAGGCTAAAAGGCTAAATTCAGGGCATCGACTTCATCTCCTAGTTCCAAGCGATGCATGGTACTGTGAATTCATTTTCAGTCTTTATGGCAGTGTTGAGAGATCAGTTCAGTTCATTTGCAATGAGTCTTGCAGCCAGAGAAGCAAGTAGGCTGCAATCCTTTTTAACAGAAGACAGTTCCCAAGTGTAAAGATACTCATCATTTTGGGGATGAAAAAAAGAGAAGCTCGTAGGACTCCTGCCCTGTTGCAAGGATGAAAATCATCCTTACTTTTCTGTCTATAAAAACTGAGTGTCAGCATCATTAGTTCCCATACGTGCCACACTGCTTTTAACCTGCAACTCAAGTAATTAGTGAGCTGACAGCTTGAAACTTGAAATTTATTAATTAGGCTATTAGAGTTGCAAAGGCCACAGCAACTGTAGCTAGACTGGTTTTGAAATCAGTCTAGTAATAAAAGCTAAATAACTGAGGTTTATGTATCACAAATATAACAGAAGTGCATATTTGAAACTGCGCGTGTGGATGTGTCCATCTATATAACTATATGCTCGGTGGATGGGGGGGATGTATGTGCATAGGCTCTACCTGTATATGAAATCAGAACTCATTAACATGGGAGGTCTGCATTAATGCACAAGAATGGAAGGAAAGTCCCGGTCAGGTTTGGCACGCGCGGCAGTGCCCAGTAGGTTTCCCAGCACAGCGCTGCTGGGAGAGCACATTTAGGGAATGGAACTGTCCTTTATGTAATAGAGGGCACAAAGTTACATTTCATCCTTAACTTTGAATTTTCTTTCTCTGTGGAATTAATTTGTACTCTTGAATTTACTAGGAAGGGGCAATGACAGTCTCTTTATTTCTTGTTTTCAAAGCTTAAGGATAATTGAATCAGCGTGTGATGTGACAGGCTGTGTCTGCTTTCCTTTCTCCTATCTCTGTCACACTTTGTTATGTACAAATGATCAGGCATTATTTGATTGTAATTTTATTAAAAACATCTTAATAAATAAACTTTAAATGAATAATTAAATTTGGTAAATAAGAGCTCACTTGATGCTTGTGTGAATGAGCTTTCATGTTCAGGCATTAATTCTCTACTCTCGTGTGGGAAAAAAATGCTGTTAATTCTGCTGCCTGCTTTGCTCTCTTTCTTCATTTTTACTGTGATTTCATGTCTTGAAAGTTGATCAGGTGTTTGATTTCTAGTTATGCATATGTGATATTATGGGACCAGCCATCATTTTGTTATTTGGGAATTAATTTATCCACTCCAGGAGAACTGGTGTCATGTCACAAAGCTATTGGGTGATTATTCTCAGCAGAGGCTAAGTTATTTAGTGATGTTATTCTTTACATGCTCAATTAATTTACTTTTTCCTTTCTTGTGGATGTTAACAAGCTGGAGGAAATGCACTAGAAAATAATCTCCAGAAGTGAAGAGTTCACCTTTGGTTTTTAAGTTACATAAACTCATACTTTTTTTCCTACTTCAGTGGGAGGATTCTCTATTTCCCTATGAGCTTTTTGTATTAGCCTTTCTTATTAAGAAAAATTTGTTGAGAATCAAGACACTTATTTGAAAGAATCCACTAAAAGGAAAAGTGAAAATGTTACAGCTCATACATTTTGCTGATGTCGAATTTGAGACCATGCAGAGCCAATGCCAGAGGTAAGATACTACGCTAGGCAGTTAGAGGAGAGGGTACATTCTTCCTGAGGCTGATGAAAATGTGAAAGAGTGAGCGAGATCCTTGTTTAGCAGTTTCAAACACTTAGACAAACCCGAGGGTATTTCCATCAAAATTATTGTATTCCCCCAAACTTCTTTAGGTACATAAATTCACTCTTTGGGAAACTGAACATGCTCTAATAGCCTACGCTTATTGGCAGCCTGGTTGGCTACTAGAATAGCATTTAAATTCAAGTGTATGTGCCACTACATCACCACTGCAAGCCGATCCTGACTTCTTGAGATTATATTCAGTCACCAGAAAAAAAACCCAGGCTTTAATATCCCTTCATCAGAAGCATTCACAAAAAGCTGGGGCAATTTGTCAAAAGTAGACAATTTGAAATCATTGAGAAATTATTGTCGGCATGTGAAACACAGTACAGATCTTTTCATACGGCAGTTGAAGGTAGAAACTCTTAGGGCTTGCCCAAAAATTTGATGTCTCGCATTTCAGGTGCGTAGGATGGCAGTGAATTGCAGATGTGTATTATAGCGTAAAAATTACAGATCAAGGCTGTGCAGTCTGGAGAGCCTTGACTCTGGAGCAAATGGTGCTGATCGAAGGGATTTGACTAGCCAGGCCCTCAAGACCCCAGTGCCTGAGGTCCAGCCAACCTCCATTTAAAGATGCCAAGAAACTCTGGGGGCCCCGAACCCTTAAGGCATGTTTCTGAGTGACTCAGCAGCAAAATCTCAGCTCGGCCGAGTCGGAGCATCCTTGAGCTCTCTGGGGAGCTGCAGTTCCTTTCTTGATGAGCTGTGCATTTGGCTCATCGCTCAGCTGCTGTGGACTGGGGGTCTGGTCCAGCGCCCGATTCCTTGCTGAAAATGACGGCGAGTGTTGCTGTTAGTGCCTGGCCTCTCTGAGCAGCCTTCACTGCAGTTGTAACTGCAGCGTGTATACGAGGTGGTATTCCAGTGTGTGTCTGGGTTATTCAGAGGCAGCGTTACATACAGGATACCTTCCCTGCTGTCATCCATAACAAAGTGGGTTTTTTTCCCTTAATTTAGATACCTTTTTGTTATAGTTTATATTTGTATTTCCCTTCTGTTTATAGGCTTCTTTTATATTATTATGACTGCAAACAAATTCTGTGAGTAGAATATGTGAATATTTGCACGCGAGGAAAAAATGGTGTGATCTATTGCACCGTATTCATAGAGATTGCGGTTGGGATAAAAGGCTGACCTTGTAATCTCGGGGACCCAGAAATGAAGTCTGTATTTCCATTCTCTGGTGCTGCCAATATCAACATGTGAAAAGGAAAGACCAGCTGTGCTACTACCTCAGGAATCTAATGGTCCGTGAAACAATATTGGTCTTCCCTCTGTCTTCGCATCTAAACTTGTAGAAGATAATAGACGAGTTTTGCCTGATCAATAAATGAACAGTGAGCAGGAGATCCGTAATAGCTATACAAGGAATTGCACCATTAAAGGGTTGTTGAGAAATAAGTTTACAAGCCTTAGAATTAATGGGTTTTCAAAGAAATATTGGATTTATTCTTGTAATTGAAAATTACTTTGAAACTGAATGAACAATTAACAATGCTGTTTATATTGTTAAGGTAATGTTCAAGCGATTATTGCAGCTAAAAATTGCTGTAAAAATAACACACCGTACCTTTTTTCTGTTATTACTGTAGGAGTCACAACAGGGATCTACAGGACACAGCAATACAAGTAAGTACCAACCCATTTTCTGGCCGCATTGGGTGGAGGGGATAACAATGTCTCTGAAAAACAGGTTACAGATAACGGAAAGGACGAGTGGCAGACTGGGACAGTGCAGAGCCTCAGCAGGGAGTGCTCGGCTATGGCCAAATGTGGAGAACTGAACTGAAGAGCGACCATCAAAATGTCAGCTTTTTTGGTGGACTGGGAAGAACAAAAAGGATTGGTTTCGCTATGGCCATTTCATTACGTAGATGAGAAAGACTGAAAGGGCAAAAGTGTGGCTTTTTTAGAAAGCCAGAAAAGAGCTGACCTGGTTGCATGGCCAGATCCAGACTGCCATGCAGGAAGACTTGTTATCTGTTATCTTTCACAGGCAATGGTATATTTTGTGGCCATTGCACAGTAATAAGCTACATAAATCCTGCCAAACTAACACCAGATAATGTCTCAAAGACCATATGGCCGTGGGTCTTTCTGGCTAGCAGTGTGGGCAGGGGAGCGATGTGTGTTTGTGTGGCTCCTGGTTGGGGCTTTTCAGTGGACTCCAATTTACAAGTCATAGTGCACATCAGCAGCACTTTAATTACATTTAGTTATGGTAAAAAACTTAGCAGCTGTATTGAAAGGAAAGATTGAGCTGTTCTGCGAAACAAAATATTAATCCTCTCCCCTGACACCTCTGACTGTTGTTAATGTTGTCTTGCATATTAAAAATACATGATCCTATCCTGCTCTCAACATAAAATCATCTCAACCAAAAGAACTATTTTGCTAGCTTCCTGACCTGTCAGCCAGCACAGAGCCCCATTTGCAAATTACAGGGCTGTGACTGAAGATGAAAAATGCCCTGAGCTGGTAGGTAGGGCTTTGAAAGTGGCTGGTCACCCACTGCGTGAGGGAGAAGACATCCAGAGAGACAAGGCTGGGAGATGTAGGCTATTAAAATGGTGTGGCTGTTTGCTAGGGAAAGGTCGGCACGCGGAAGACGATGTTGTGAAGAAACATGCAGTGGTGTCACTTAATTGCTGGCATCGGCTTGATATTGCTGCGAGTACCAGCACTAAGGAAATAACAAAAGGCAAAGGGGATGAGGTTCTGTCAGAAAATAATGAATACAGTAATGAGAGAAGGAAGCACAAAAGGCCCATAATAGAGAGGGCTATGCAAACACACGCAGAGTCACAAGCATGACAAACACACCAGCTGAGCTGAGGGCTTCGCGATGACATCAGAGGCCACAGTGTTTGGCCAGCTTTGGTCGTAGCTTCATTCTGAGTATTCCCTTCTTTCAATGCTTGAATAAAATAGGTTGTTCTGCAGATCTAATGAAACCTGCTGTCCTGTGGATCAGGAAATCGGTCCTACCTCCTTACAACTTTCCTCTGCTCCTTTCTCCAGTGGTCTCCAACCTCACTTTACTTCCAGTTCTCCCATCTGCCCTCCCACACCACAGTACCTCCAGCTACTTCTTATCTCCTCCTTCATCCTGCTCAGCAAAATCGGCATATATCTGCAGCTGGGCTGGAGCTGCACTTGGTACCACCTGGCTGATGGCAACCAAACCAAAGAACAGCTGAACCCATGCAGAAACATTTTCTTCATTGGTGGCAAAGGTTAGGATTGCTGTCAGACACCCAGGCACATTTCCTTACATTGCAGAGGGAATTTGATTACCTCTGAGACCTGTATCCATGAGGATTCCTGTTGAGGTGCTGGAATAAGACATCAAGTAAGACACAGAATGAAATATAGACCTTACGAGTCCTGTATGTCTAACTCAAAGGAAATTTGGGGAAAAGGGGGTTTAGATGTGAGGAAATGTTAGCAAATGACTCTATGTGGGAACGAAATCTATTGGTCTATGTACTGTGTCATCCAAATGCACATCTTCAGAGTCCCAATTAGCCGTTACTTCCCGTTGCACCCTGCCTTCTTTGGAGTGGCTCTTGAGCCTGGCATTTGCAATGGTTTTACTCCAGCTGCAGACATTGTCTTTCTCATGGATAACATTTGCATTTCTCTCATCCTTCTCCCACAAGGAAATCAGAGCATTTAAAAACCCATAATGGCCGAAGTTATACTGCTCTGTCACAATAAACATTATTTATCCCTGTTGTCCAGAAAGGGAAACTTGGCCTCGTTAGGTTGAGTGGTTCACCCAAATTCCAACTCAGAGGAGACAACTCCTTCTCTGGCCACCCACTACTCAACGTGGAAATCCTACAAAAGTTCATTTGAAATTTATTTTGAAACGGCAGAAATCTGGACACATCTCATCTGGTTGTACCTAAAAAGATTAGGAAGGGAACTGTGTGAGATGAGGTAGAAACTAGCACAGAACTCCCAGCTCTGTGGCTAAGGATCTGAGGACTGATGGATTCCACCACGTGTTTCTGGAGGCATGTGTACACATGCACATGCCAACACACACAGACGTCCACATCTGTTTCAGAAGACAAACACAGTGTTTAGCACCTGAAATAAAGTGTGCTAACAGCAGCCCTGTAAAAGAGGGAAGGTGGGTGGCGTACTCTTTGTCAGTTCCTAAAAGAACAAAAACAAAGGACGACACAAATTTGCCCATAAGAAGAAGCCAAAGCTGGAGAGGATTTAGCAGTTCAGCATATGCCAGCCTCCCACAATGGTACCTGCATGCATTTGGCAGGTTATGTGGAAAATGGAAAACAAATCTTGGTCTGGCCAAGAGTGAGTGTGAAAAAAACAAGTTGTTCTGACAGATAATTCCCTTTTACATATGCTCATCCAAAAATCTTATCTGTACTGTATCTGTGACATTCAAGTATGCTTAGTCTATACACATTTTTAAAATTTCTGTGATTCAGTCAAGTGAGAACAAACTTGGTAAAAACTGATAAAGCATTAATGGCCAGATTTTCTACTCTGATAGGCCGGACTGATACATTTCTACCATCTGTACAAGCTTCATCCTCTCCCTCCACACAGAAGTATGTTAAGTGACGATTAGCATAAAAGCAGCTGCAAATGCTTACTGTAGGGTAATTCATTAATATCCAGTTTGGCTAAATCACAGAGATTCCCTTTTCTCCCTCCTCACAGTACTTACGCTGTTTCCCTTGTTGCTGCATTAACATACATCGCTGAAAGTAGAACTGATGTGAACTCTGCTGGCAAAGCACTCAGGAATCCATATTCCCCCTCACACTCAAACAAACCAGTGTTCATGGTAATAATTCATCACTTATAAAAAGCCTAAGTTACGAATAGAAAATGTTTGAATATATGCCAACTGTTACTGTTGGTTTCTTGTTCCAAATTACCATAATGCAGATGAGCTCCAGGGCTCCAGGAACCCTAAAGCTGACAAACAAATACTGTAGCAACAGCTTTCTAGCCAGCGAGTTCATCATCTGGGTATACTTTCTGAGGTCTGTGCTAAAAGTGAAAAGTGCCCTAGAGATTATGAAGTGGATGTATTCCATCCTGTGTGGTTGTCTGGCTCGTACCTAAGTTTTAGGCGCCTTTAGCTGTCCTACAGTAAGTGCTTAGCTCCCCTAGAGGTCCACAGAGAGGCATTGGTGGGTTTTAAGCCATCCAGAGCTTCCCCCATCCTGTTCACTAAAGTTTAGGCACCTAAGTTGGGTAGACACAAACCCTTCCACAGGGGAGGATGAGATGTAAAAGCACCACAGCAAGGTGTTCACAATACCTAAAACCTCTTCTGCAAGACATCCACTTCCAGAAGGTTGCTGTCTTGAATAAGTCCTTCAGCTTGCTTCTGTACAGCAGTGGAAGGACATTGGTAGCAAAACCCTGCCTCTTCTGAAGGCAACAGCAAGTTTTCCAGAGGTGCCCCTGTTATGGTTTAACTCCAGCTGGCAGCTCAGCCCCACCCAGCTGCTCGCTCACTCCTCCCCAGTGGGATGGGGGAGAGAATCAGAGGAGTAAAAGTAAGAAAACTTGTGGGTTGAGATAAAGACAGTTTAATAGGTAAAGCAAAAGCTGGGTGTGCAAGCAAAGCAAAGCAAAGAATTCATTCCCTCCTTCCCATCGGCAGGCAGGTGCTCAGCCATCTCCAGGAAAGCAGGGCTCCATCACGCCTAAAGGTGACTTGGGAAGACGAACACCATCACTCCCTTCCTTCTTCTTCCCCCAGCTTTATGTGCTGAGCATGACGTCATATGGTCTGGAATAGCCCTCTGGTCAGTTGGGGTCAGCTGTCCTGGTTCTGCCCCCTCCCAGCTTCTTGTGCACCCCCAGCCTGCTCTCCAGTGGGGTGGGAAACAGAAAAGGCCCTGACTCTGTGTAAGCCCTGCTCAGCAGTAACTAAAACATCCCATTATTATCAACACTGTTTTCAGCACAAATCCAAAACATAGCCCCGTACTAGCTACTACAAAGAAAATTAACTCTATCCCAGCCAAAACCAGCACAGCCCCTTACAGTCATTGCCAGCGCCCCAATGCTGTAGGGA